CTTTCAGCTAGGGCTTGTGTCGCCTTCAGGTTAGTTTTCATGGCGTGTGGCGCCCTGAAGTTAGTTTCATGGCGTATGTCGCCTTTTCAAGTTGGTTTCATGGCGTGTGTCGCCCTCAGGTTAGTTTTCACGGCGTTTTGTCAAGTTTGTTCTACGGCATGTAGTCTGAAGTTTATTTTCATGGCGTATGTCGCCTTGTTTCTTACGGCGTGTGTCGCCTCTCAAGTTAGTTTCATGGCGTATGTCGCCTTTCAAGTTGGTTTCATGGCGTGTGTCGCCCTCAAGTTAGTTTCCACGGCGTTTTGTCAAGTTTGTTTTACGGCGTGTAGTCTGAAATTTATTTTCATGGCGTATGTCACTTTATTCCTTACGGCGTGTGTCGCCTCTCAAATTAGTTTCATGGCGTGTGTCGCCCTCAAGTTAGTTTTCGCGGCGTTTTTTACTAAAGTTCGTTTTCAAGGCGTGTAGTCTAAGATTTATTTTCTTGGCGTATGTCGCCTTGGTTCTTATGGCGTGTGTCGCTTTTCAAGTTGCTTCTCACGGTATGTGTCATCTTCAAACAATTTAGTTTTCTTGGCGTATCCCGTTTTTGAGTCAGTTTTCGTGGCGTGTGTCGGCCTGCCTGTTAGTTCTCTCGTTATCTTTAGTTTTTTCATGTTTGCTCCGTGTCGTCGGTCGCCGTCTTTCGCCGGTCTTATTTTTAAAGTGTGGCCTTTTTAGGTTAGTATTCATGGCGAGTTGCTTTTATGGGTTTCTTCGCTGTTAGCGTGTCATCCTTTTCCTTTTTCTGTTTATAACTCATTTTCATACTCCATCGAGCGTGTTTTTTCTGCATCCCTCCTATATAATGTTCTGGAATCTACCGCTTTGAACGTTTGTTTACGCTCGTATTTTATCTCTCTCAACGGGTTACAGTCAGAGAGATTTTCCTCTCTGTTTTTCTTCGTTTATCTTTGTATTGTAGTACGCTTTGCTCTTAAGCATGTTAAGGCATGGCTCAATTTTTGGTCTCGACCCCCCGCGAAGATAAACTTGTTTTTCTTCTACGACCACGCATTTTAGTTCTACAAGTTGCAAAAAACCTTCGAGAAACCTTCTTTCGAGGCGTTGAATTAATTAGGGTTAAAGTGATGTGGTCACGTTAACGTGACGTGATAGTGATATTCAAAAGAATTTCAAAATGGAGTAGGAATGGTTGATTACAACTAAGTTTAAACCATGTGTAAATGTTTGTTTTACCGTACGATTGTTTTCCGCGGCCGGAACGGGAGAATTTTAATTTCTTTAAAACATATTAACAGGTGAATAGCGTCACGTGACCTATTTTGCTTTATTACTAATTAAATTAACACGGGAGTCAACCATTCCAGCCAAATTCAAGCGAGAAATGATGATACAATAGCAAAAATACTGTATTTAATATATACTGTGTGGCATTTCGCTACCCTGATTTTAGTTTTCTTTTCTTTCCTGGACTCGGCAGTAAGTGGTCACGTTACACAGATATCTATTTCTTACGTTACCTGAAAATTAAGGTTACCCGTTTTTTCCGAGGTTGCCAAATTTTGGAAGGTTCTGATAAATTTTCACAAGTTATCACCGTTACAGGATTTTATGCAAATTAGCCTCAGGCCATGCCTTAATATGCTTGAGTTGTTGTTTTCTACTATAGTTTCTTTTGTAGCGCCAATCGATTGCATTCGCACGACTGCACGTTTCATAATTTTATGATCAAGTTTCTTGTGGTTGGTTGTATTGTTCGCCAGTCTTAATTTTATTTTAAAACTCTTTCGTTAGGCTGAGATGACCGTTAGAGAACTCCAAAATGAGCTACTGGAACTTAAAAGATCCTCTGCCTCTAATACTGTTGCGGCGGCTCTCTTGTCACTACAGCAGGAACTCGCAAAGCCGCCGCCGGTGTTTGATCCTTATAGAGCTCTGGCAGGACTCGAGTCTTTGGCGGATTTAGCTTGGGACAAAGCGGATACAAGAACCAAACGGTTTAGCACAATTCTCCGTCAGTGCCGCCCTCTCCTCGGTAATCCGCACTTCCAAAGCATTCTTCTCAAGTTGGTTGGGGATAAGGAGGACATTGAAGTAGCAAAAGCTATTCAAAAGTCTCTTCGTCCGTCGGCTTCGTTATGGCCTCATGTTCCTCCACCCACGCAGTCTTCCTCCCGCAGGCCCCCCGATTTCCGGTATCGTCCGCGTTCCTCGCAGCCTACCTGTTTCCGTTGCCGCCAAAGGGGTCATATCGCTAGATTCTGCCCTAGGAATTGATATGTTCACATGTTGGTGATTTACTTTCTCCAAATAAATGTTTACCTGTGTGGCTTCTAAGTGCGTTGTTATTTTATTTTGGTTTCTTACTCCCGCTATCAATCTGGTCGATCTGGGACGGGTTCTCTAAACTATACCCGATACTCTGTCTGTGACGGGGTCCCTGGATCGGCCTGGTTGGTGGCTCCCCTTTTTTCAGTTATCTATTTATCTTCGTGGTAACTTCTTCAATTTTTTCGCTCTTTCTAGACGTCATCCTTTTCGTTTGACCTTCAGTTGAAACAGGCCCAAAAATCTGTTAAGTCAACTCCTATGTGGTGTAACTGGAAAGGGGAGCCCTCCAACTGGGCCGGTCCACTCCCGTCTCTTGAGATGGTGGCCTCTGGGAAGGTCCATGCCTCGCCAAGTCTTCTCCGTTTTCGCAACCCCTCATTTTTTATCTCGGGTTTCATCCATCATAATCGGTCTATGTGGTCCAGGATTCTCCATGATTCCCCGGTCCGATCAACTTTCTTTCGTTTCCTGGAGTTTGGTGTGGATGCAACAGGAATTTTTCGTTAAATTTGAGGGTTCATTTCAAGGTCAAGTTTATAGGGCCTCATCCCCCTCCCAATCCCCCGTGCGTTTTTCCCCAAGAGTAAAAGCTGTCGAGCCTTTTCTGAATTTATCTCTAAAACTATTCTGGAGCGAGTGGCCAATGGATCTTTGTCGGTTTGGGGGAAGGTGGGGGAAATGTCACCTCCTCTCTTGGTTATGCCCATCACCATTGAACCTACAAAATCCCCCATGTGCCATGATGAAAGATTTCTCAACTTGTGGATCAAGGATCTTCCGTTGTCTTTGGATCTTATTACTGAACTCTCCCGTTACGTCCTTAACAATAGTTTCCGAACCTCGTGCGAAGACAAAAGTGGGTATGACTATGTCCGTCTTTCGTCAAACAGTAGGACGTACTTCGGTCTTCAGTGGAATGGATGGTACTTTGTTTTTTATACTCTCCCCTTTGGATGGAAGGCTAGCGCGTACCTTTATCATTCTATCGGTTTGATCGCCACTAGCTACATTCGTTCTCATGGCATCCCATGTTCTCAATATATAGACGACCGTCATTTTGGTGAACTTCAAATCCGGCGTACCGCTCCTCCTTGTTCGTGGTCTGGTTTTCAGCGTGCTCAAGCAGCCCTTTATTTCGCCTGCTACATCCTCATTGATCTTGGCTACTTTATTGGCCTTAAAAAGTCGACCCTTCTCCCCACGCAAACGCTGATTTTTCTGGGGTACATCATAGACTCTACTAAAACTGCGTTCTTGATGCCCCTCGATAAAAAGATTAAGTTCGCCTCTCTTAGAGAAGATCTGTTTAGCCACAAAACGGCATCTCTTAAGTCCCTTCAGAAGTTTGTTGGAAAGATAAACTCCTTCACACTTGTCGTCCCTGCCGCGAGGTTGTATTCTCGAGCGGCGTGTTTGGCCATGTCGAGGGCACTTAAGTCCCCAAGAGCTATTCCTGTTTCCTCCGACTTGAGGCAAGAGCTTGAACATTGGCGTTTCCTGGATTCGTGGTCCGGTTTCTTACCGTGGAAGGATGAGAAGCATTTCCAGTTAACTGTCTTTTCTGATGCGTCAAAATCTAGCTGGGGCGGCATCCTCCGTTTGCCTGGTCAACCGCAACAAGAGTTTCGCGGTTATTGGGACCTCCATGAAGGTGATCTTCCCATCATCGTGAAGGAAGCTTTGGCCCTTCTGTTCGTTTTGCAAAGGGTGGCTCGTCTTGTCTCAAACGCTAGGGTTGATTGTTTCGTCGATAATGCACCCTTGGTTGCTTGCTGGGAAAAAGATGGCTCTCGGAACGCCCGCGTCAACAACGTTCTGAAAGAAATGCACTTCGTCCCTTCTGAAGAAAACCCAGCAGATTATCCCTCCGGAGTTCCCTCAGATCTGGACTGCTCGCTGAGTCCCGCGTCTTGGCAGGTTATTCAAAGGACCTTCGGCCCGCACACCATCGACCTTATGGCTACTCCTGATACTGTCCAGAGAGATTTAGCCGGTAGAGCACTTCCTTTCTTCGCTCCCTCTCCCTCGTCGCAGGCACTTGGGACAAATGTTTTCTCGCAGGTGATAGCTCCTTCTCACAATGCGTATGTATTTCCACCGTTTGTCCTTGTTGGCCCCTTGATTAGATTTCTCGCATCTCAGGATTGTCCCTACACGATTGTAGTCCCCGACCTTCGTCCCAGGAAATATTGGTGGCCGCTTCTCGTTTCTTCCTGCGTAGACTCGTTCAAACTTGGTTCTCGAGGGGATCGCGACATCCTGCTCTTTCCGGCTGATACCATTTCCGGTATGGAATATAGGCCACTCCAGTGGGACTTGTGGGTGTTTCGAATTTGCCCTGTATAAACCTTGTTTTTTTATGCAGGACAGTGCTCCTTTTCTTATCACCTACGCCCCGAGTGTTACCTTTGGTAATTTGCATTATAATGTTTGATTGTGTATTTTTCTATTAAGATACTTATTTGAATCCGTTTGTCTCATTGTGATTTCTCCTTTCCCCAGTCCTCTGTGAACGTTCCTCGCATTTGGAAGCCCGCCTCCTTGTGCCCCGATTGTTCTTACGCTAACGACGCTGGCTTTAGCTTTTGCCAACACTGTGGATTTCACCCCGCTCCGCCTTCAGTATCCCGCAAGAACCTCCAGAGTTTCCCTCGATCTGCCCTTCCCTCGATTTCTACTCGGGCGACAGAGCAACTGACCTTGGTCGTGTTTATACCAAAGAGGTTCTCCTGCTACCTGAGGATCAAGGTCTTTTGTTTCACCACACGTTTGGGAAGACGCTTCGTGGAAAGGACTCTAAGAATCAGTTTGCCGTTAAAAGGTGCCCCCAGGACACTGTGGTTTGCCCTGTTGTAAATCTCACTACGTATGTTAAGATAGCCGACCTCATGAATATCAACCTTCGGGAGGGTTTTCTCTCCCGTGCTACCGACCCTAAAGGTCGCGTTTCTCCAAAGCCGTTCGTGGGTTCTACGGTGGCTAACCGTCTCCGCCTTTATCTCACGGCGTTAAATATTGATGAGGGTGAAACTATGCACAGTTTTAGGAGCGCTTGTTCCATAACTCTATCTCTTCTAGGTGCCTCAGATGACCAAGTGGCTAGTCATGTTGGCTGGAAAAGCATCCAGGTAGCTCGATATTATTCTCAAGTCCCCAAAGTTATGGATTTGTCGCTGCCAGCTTCTCTTCTTGCCCAAGGCACTGTTAGAGGGAAAGATAGTATTTCTCGCGCAGGTTCATTAGGGGCCGAGTTCCGCGCTCGCAATAATCTAGAGGGGCTATCCCTCGCCTTTCCTTGATTCTTCGTAGGCCTGAGCGTCTGAAATTGGGAGGAATGTGGCTTTTTCAGGGGGTCGTTGGCTTATTCGCGGCATTTCGCGCTCGGGTTGGAAATTATTTTCGCCCATATCTTAGTATCCCCGCGTGTGCCATAGAGGCGCGGCATAGCAATGAAAATTGTTCTACTATTTTCATTGATATAATTGCACCGAAATGGATTCGCGCGCTCCTTAAATTAGCATATTTTCTCTCTAGAGACCTTTCTAGCACCCCTGGGTATTTAGCTTAGTATTAGGGAGCTTAAGCAGCGACGTTTTTGAGCGACGCACGTCAACCGGAAGTGAGCCTTTTTCTCTTTTAGTAAGCCTTTACGCTAACGTATTTGTATTGCCATTTGTCTTAATTCTTATAGAGACGATCTGCCCAAAAATTTTTTCAAAATCACGGCTCAAGTGTGCAAAAAGTCCATTTCCGGTTGACGTGCGTCGCTCAAAAATGTCGCTGCTTAAGCTCCCTATTTATACGCGCTACCGTCAACAGATTGCTCTCATATGCGTTCATGCCCCAAGAGGTCTATTCAGAGTTTCGTTTTTTGCCCCTCCCTCCTCCCCTCAGCGACGAAAACCTTCATCCCCGCTGCACTTCTTTGCACACGCGGAAATTATTTTCGCCCATATCTTAGTATCCCCGCGTGTGCCATAGAGGCGCAGCATAGCAATGAAAATTGTTCTACAAACTTCAGCATTGCGGACAACTTCAAAAAGTAGCAATCTTAGGAAGGTTTATTTAACATATTGGCTATACTGGACACTGTAACAAGTGACGACGTTATGTTATATTTGCTGAGGTTGTAAATAAGATGGCGCGCAAATGCAAGATAAATGGCGAAACGCTGAACTTAATGCTTCTTTGTACTGGCCAGATTTTTTAGCCCCACCACTTTAAAATGGTCTCCGCGTTCGCTGGCTAAATATGAAACAGAAGAAAAAATCAGCAACAGAGAATTCTTTAAAAGAAAGTGGATACTGACGCCTTATTTAATTAACTGTATTAACTCCGTATTATTCCATTGCCCTGTTGTACTTTTTTTATAATTTCTTTTAGCCCTGTATTAATTTGACAATTAATTCTGCTTTACTCTGTTAATGTCTCTTGTTAAAGTGTTTTTTTTTTTTTGGTTTGGTTTTTGTAGTATTGTAAATGTAATTATTTAATGTGATTATCAATAAACATATATATATTTAGTATATACTAAAATAGTGGATAGTGTTTTTTCGCGCGCTCTGATTGGCTACTCAATCAGTGAATATCCTGCACTATTCACTGATTCACCTCCAGTTCCTCCGAGCGAGAGACGCCAAACTCGCGTAAGTTGCAAAATGCCTTCCCGGTTTGCTGCCGTAACAAACAAAGAAATTTCACAACTAATCAAGCAAGCTGTTTCCGAAATAGACGAAGAAAGTGACGAAGCTCGGGGTGGAAATTTTCACAGGTAAAGCTTTCTCTTTTTGACTTGAATTAATCGAGAAAACAGGCGAAAAAGTTTTGTTGTTTACAAATGCAAATTAAGTTTAAGTCTTGCGTTACTTTTTTTAGTTGACTTGTTCATAATTAGCTTAAAACTAAATCTAATAATCGTTTTTACAGAATTATTTTAAATACAAAAAGAATTCACAACTCCTTTTGAGGAAATTTCCCTGCAAGAGCTAAACAAATGCCTTCAAAAGTTTTGAAGCCAAAATTGTAATCGTTGCAGGCAACAGTAAATGAGTTAAAAATCATTATTTTTGGGCTCAATTATCTCACTGTTTTAGTATATACTAAAACAATTATTCACCTCAGTGTCGGTTACTAGTGATGGATATTTACCCAGCTGCTAACGCGGCTTCGGTAAATATCTATCTATCACTAGCCACCTCCACTTCTGTGAATAATTGTTATATATATAACACACAACCACGGCGGTTTCATTCTTCATCAAGTGAGCCATTTTCAGGCTTTTGAAATGTTATAAACCTGGTAAGTCACAGCCATTATGCGGTTATCACACGCCTGCGGGTCATAAGCGCCAATCACACTCAAACAGCACAATTTTACACGTTAACTCACTAATCCTGACTACTTGTTCCGTATCCATTAACTTAGCCTGCTCCAAGCTCTCAGATACTAGGGATGAAACGTGAGTGGAAGGCTCGCGAAAATGTAAACTCGTGATGTGGGAAAAGGAGGGTGTGGCGGGTAAAAAGGAATGGGAGTGAGAGAGGCTCCACCGCCCTTCCTCTCCCCAGTTTCCTCTCGTTTTATTTTCGTGGTCGTGCTTTCTCGATTCTGTTGGAACCTGGAACGGGCTACCTTTAACTCAAAAGAAAAATGGCCAAATGGGTTTACGGTACATATGAAATCAATTACAAAATGGCTGCCAGTGACGGTAAGTGCTTGATCTCCACGATCTTAAGGGCGGCCGTCTGTAAACATGATCGCCTGGGGGTGTGCAAATTGAGCAAATCGAAAATTCCCAAACTTTGTCAGAATATAGGTCTAGGTAAACGTATTTCTAGAAAAATAACTTTTAGATGGATTGGATTTTTATTTTACGCGTACGGCGACCGAGTCGGTTCGAAGGCTCTCGGATCAGTTTTTACAGGCTCAAGACCATATATTACTTAAAAATTTAAACATTAAAGAAGTAAAAAAACTCTGCCTCTGAAAATCGTACCGATTTTTGACAGACATAACATTGGCAAATTTCAGACACAAAAATCACTACTTGGTATACGGCTTTGAGCCATAACTTACCACCGATAGAAAGAGCAAGGTGTCTTGCTCAAATAAATGCAATAAAATTTTTGGGCAATCCTGCAGAGAAAAATTTTTGAACGCCAAACAAAAGCGACTCTTGAGGTCAAAACACGCCATTTTGTCACGACATTCGAAGGCAGTTAAATCAATAAAAATGCTCTATTGGCCAGATTCCTCCAAAAGCTCTATGCTCTTGAGCAATATTGATTACACTCGACTTATCTGCACTTCTTTTGCCTAATTATTTCACTCACAATGCGCCCATTGGCAGTCGAAAGCCTAATTTTAACGGGCGGTCAATGTTTGACAGCATTCGAATCACATTTTTCGAAACCTCAGGTTCAAAACTTACTACCAATTGGATTTATGCACACAAAAGAACAGACTTACCGACGTTGGCTTACATAACGATGTATTAAGACTAAATATAATACTTATCTCTTAGGAAATGAAGATATTTTGGAAATATAGAACCGGTTATTGAGGTCTCCTCACATCACTGGTCACCCTAACTGCTCGGAGCGGGAAGGAGAATGCGTTACTCACTTTTGTCCTAGGGTAGGGTGATGCTCCAGAGGTAGGGGGAGGGGAATGTCAGCAGCTCTGTGTCTGAAAAGTTCTGGTAGGAGTAAGTAAGGTTTGTGCTGCATAATGCACTAAATCCTTCCTAAAACTAAAATGTAAAAGTAAAAAAGATATGTCAGTTGGCTGGTTGAAAGTACAACGAACTGATTACGAAACCAGGAGACTGACGAAACTTTTGAGAAACAAAAAACTATGCCACATGCGTTATCTATTCTTTTAAGATATCTGGTCTGCTTATCCTGGCATGCTTATTTTAAGTCAAAAGATCATCAGATTAAAGGAACACCCCATGGAGCTACAATCTTGGACAGAATCATGAAAAATGAAGCAGCAAAACCACCCCCCCCCCCCCCACAAATCATGGATGAAACCGTCAAAATTGTTATGTAAATATGGGCAATGGGTTCATTCCTGGGGCAGTGACTCCCCGTATAAAACTTTGTTGGGTACCCCATGTCGTTGGGCGTGTCAATGTTGCGTTTGATATCCTGATATGGAAAACGAAGATATTTCAGTAAAACTGATCGATGAACGCGTAAAATTGTGCTCTTGTAACTAATTACTGAGATTTTAAGCATGTCCACCTACTCTTTTCTAACATTCCTCAGCACAGTATTCTTCCAATTTCATTGCGTAATAACAGAAAATCTGGTAAGCTGATAAGCAAATTTACATTTTTGGAACTGAGTAGTTGAATGGCCTTACTGCTAAATCTCCTGGCATCCAAGGTAACGAGAGACTGTGTCTCACGGCTTGTGCGCGTGCGGAGGTAGGGTGGGGCAGGGAGTCGGGGTGTGGAATTGGGGTTATGGATGTCACTGACGCTAAGTGTAAAACACAACCGAAAGAAAACAAAGTTTCAGCGAAATATAAATCTAGACCTAGACAGATTCTGCTCGGTAACTCTGTAGCAACTTGCACGCTTTTGAACTACTTTTTTCGATTCTGAGCAGCTTTTCGGAAAGTGAGCCTCTCTCAAAGTTAGCACTTTTTTGGCATATTTTCACTATTTTTAAATTACATTCATAAATAATTGATATTTCAACACGTTTTCTTTGGAAATTCGTAAGAAATTTCACTAGAAACTTTATGGCGTTTTGATCGCTTGGGTATCATAGTTGATAGATTCCAAATATGGATGTGAGGATGTCCCAGATTGACTCTATTTTCATAATGGATGGGTATCCTGTGATAATGTTCCAAAGTACGTACATGAAAGGCAGCACGCTCTACGCCTCTGCCGTCCGTTTCAGGTTCAAGGATTTAGGCCGAATGCTGTCTCACTGGAAGAGCTTAAGATGTTCTCTTTGTGGATGACAACATCATAGCAAACTTAGCGACAAAGCTTCCTGCCAATCTCGGCAGCTGCTGACGGCGTTGTGTACTCGAGTGATACACGTTGCAGTAGTCTTAGGACGTCTCAGTTTTATTTTCCCAATATTTTAGCTGATTAGATCTTTTTTTCTAGAGATCAAACGATTGCAACCATCACGCAGGATCTTCGTCCACGGCTTTTGCAGTTTATTTCTTAAACGGGAAGTGGAAGGTTGTCATAGTGTGTTCAGTCAGTCAGTTCAGTTTATTTTCTCTCATGTTTTAACTAGTGATAAGTTAGAGCCTTTTTAAAGATTGTTGTTTACAATTATAAACGTTTCTACTGAATTTGTTGCCCACTACTAAACCTCTAAGAAAGAAAACGTAAACGAAGATCCTCCTTGTTGTCAACGTTGGATCTCTAGCAAAAAGATGTAATAAGCTAAAATATAAAGAAAAAAAAAAGAGACGCCCTAGAACGGGATAGTTTCAGGCTGGGGTAGTTTTGAATGACTGTCTTAGGCCTGCTACTTAAATTGTTCAGTCGGCTTCCGGTTTGAAGTGCATTGCACTTCCTGTTCTGTGTCACGCAAAGGTGATATACAAGTATTTGGCACAGGATGGGAAGACAGTATGCTGCTGCATATCTTTGATAGGCTTTAATGAAATGGTAAGTGTATAAATAGGGTTTCTTAGTATCATATTAAGAAGGTTACAATTCCACGTTGAATTGCGCGAATTATTTTGAGTCCTAAAAAGGTATGAGGTTTCAATGGGCTTTCGACCGCGATATTGGAGGACGCAAAATGTCACTTGTTAGCGAACGGTTCCCGACAAAATACACGGAACAAGGCATGCATATAGCTGTTTAAAAAGAAATTGTCTCGGCAAATGGAAAGAGTTCCATGCGAAAAAACGCATAAGTATCTTGTTAACCGGAAGTATCGTTGTTTTTACCCTTCAAATGTCGTGACAAAATGGCGTGTTTTGACCTCAAGGGTCGCTTTTGTTTGGCGTTCAAAAATTTTCCCTGCAGGATTGCCCAAAAATGTTATTGCATTTCTTTGAGGACGACACCTTGCTCTTTCTATAAGTAGGTAAGTTATGGCGCAAAGCCGTATACTAAGTAGTGATTTTTGTGTCTGAAATTTGCCAATGTTTAATATGTCTGTCAAAAATCGGTAAAATAAGTAAAATTATTAAAAATCCGAAAAATATTAGATTTGCTGTCGAATAGGAAAATTTCACATCGAAACTATTGGTTAAGTTGTACTCTCTCTATTAAGATTTTCAGAGGCAGAGTTTTTTACTTCCTTATTTTTTTAACGATTTTTAAGTAATATATGGTCTTGAGCCTGTAAAAACTGATCTGAGAGCATGTGAGAGCCTCCGAACCTACTCGGTCGCCGTACGCGTAAAATAAAAATCCAATCGAACTAAAAGTTATTTTTCTAGAAATAGTTTGCCTAGACCTATATTCTCACAAAGTTTGGGGATTTTCGTTTTTTTCATTTTGCAAACCCCCAGGCGATACTTGTGGACGGCCGCTCTTAAGGGAAGAAAAGTCTATTAATGTTATAATTAATTGCAACTAATAGCCAAAGGTAGTTGATAAAAAACAGTAATTTTCTTAGGTTCTGCAGCTTCCGCGGTCTTCAGTTCCACAGATTAGTCTTACGCGTGTTAATTTATCGACTACCTTGCCTCCCACGCTGACGTTCTCAGGGATTCGTAAGGCGTTCCTGCCCCAAGAACGTCTGTTGAATCGAGTGGTTAAATTCCTTTCCCATTTTTCGCAAATACAAGCTGTAGCTCACGTGCAGATTATCGGAGAACCAATCAGCGCTGTTGAAGTCAAAGTGTTGACTAGTCAAACACATACGTACAAGCTCGGTAGAGTGTGATACATGACCAAAGAGTTTAGCTCCAGACAAGAATACTTTCTCTTTGTAAAGGCTGGATTAGATGTCATTTGCTCATAAATTAGTTATGTGGGTGAGGCAAAGGCGGGGTTGTACGTTGTAACTGAACAAAAGGCAGAATTTTTTTCGCACTTTATTGTTTTGTAGTAAAGCAGACTTCTGTTCATCAAATTAAACCTCCGAGGTAATCTTTTCAATGATATCTCGGGGGAAGTCTCTAGTAGGAAGGCGTGTGAGTTAACTATTAGTGGGTAGTTTTTTCTAAAAGTATAAGGTCTTCTCCTTTCGAGACCTTTCTGAACTTTTCTGGAGCTTATTCTCGCGCGAAATTTCTCAAGGTCCAAAGTGCACTTCCAAGATCTGGAAGAGTGCTGTGATTAGTCCACGTTTTTTACCACTCAGCAGACGTTTGTAGGGCATGAACGCGTGACGAACCCCTAAGAACGTCTGGGTGGGATGCTATCGACTACCCGACGATGTCCGAGTCAATTAAAATCAAGCAACTGTTGTTTGTTGAAAAACAGCCAACAACGGGATGTTAGCCAAAACAAATCAAAGAAATTAAATTTTGTTTTAAAAAACACTTTAAACAAACACTGCCGTGGAAAATATATGCTAAATTGTGTCCGTACATGTATACAAAATACATTTATTTAGTACTCTGGGGTTTAACACTTAAAGCCCCAAGAGTGAACAACATTTCTCTAACAATTTTAATACATAATCGAGAGAAAAGGCTACGATAATAATAAAATGATCAGCAAATGGAGTATGCCTTGATCTTGTATTAAATTCTCTCCACTATTTCTGTTAGGAAATGCATGGAGATCACTCTGGAGATTTGGATTTGGATTTTGGGACTTGAAAAGGTTAACCATTTTCTTAATCAGCCTGTAAAATTTAACCCACGATGTGTGATCTATGCATCATCAGTTAGTTGATAAATCACTTTTTAATGAAAAAAATATCAACCTCTATTATTAACATCTGACACCTGCCCGCTTTTAACTGTTTGATGTTTATATGAGATAGAGAGGCAGGCGTTCAGTGATGTTGTTTAGTTGGTTTATATCGTGGAGTTGAATTAACATAGAACACATCTTACTACATTGAATTTTGTCAAATATCCTCTAAAACGGCGGTTACGTTGCAATTTCGGTTATATCGCAGCCAAATGCGTCCTCTTGTTAAAAAGGCAATTGTCCCTGTGTTAATATTTTACGTTTATGGTCTGTTTATCGCTTGGATTTTCACTTTCATCGAGAAAAGAGATGAAGAAGTTCAAGAAAAAATAGAAAAGGAACTCAAACAACTAAGACTTGAAGCAGACCTAAAATATAACATGACAGACGACGATTTTAATAGTTTTGTAAAAAGAGCCGCTGAAGCGATGAAGGGAGAAATAGAACTGGACTGGACTTTCTTGAATAGCTGTGGATTCGTTTTCGCCGCTCTCACGACAGTTGGTAAGTCTTAAAAGAAATATTAGTGGTTTTCTTTTTACATTTTAAAGATTACCAAATTCATTAAAGATAAGCTGGTCCTATTCACACAATATGCATACATAAGACATTATAGACTCATAGTATGCTAACGCAGTGTAGATATCATTCATATGTTGTGCAACGCGTATGAGATTAAAAAAAAAAAACTTGTCGAACCGGCCACGATATAAATTATCAGCTTATGTACAATAGGTCAGTTCGCGAAATGAATATCACATTCAAGCCTACTGGCAAACGTATTCGTAACTTTTAGTAATTTGGACCTACACCACATCAGCGAACTAATATTCAAATAGAGTCATACCGTAATTAATAATTTACCATTGCTTTTAATTTACCTCTTTGAGATAACCATCACCATGCATTTATACAGATCCAAACCCAGTATAACGACAAAACTATAAGGCTAGCCCGATTGCGTAAATTAGTTTTCAAAGCAATAACCATGTTATCATAATTATGGTTTTTCCCAAAAAGAAAAAAAAGAAAACATATAAAATAATATATATTTGTGATTACGTTCAACTCATATCATGTAAGATTGCACACAATATTATGTTACTACCTTAAAAAGGTTCACCGTTGACGTTTACTTTTGCCCACTGAATAGGGTATGGAAGCATCACTCCCAAGACACCACTCGGTCAAGGAATCACGATCATCTTCTGTATTATTGGCATTCCAATAACAATGCTGGCGATGAAGACCTTGGGGGAACTCTTAGCCATTGGAGTTAGATTTCTTGTCATCAAAATGGATACAGTCCTTCTTAAAAGAACCGAACCAAGGCACGTGAAAGTCAAATCATTTATTCTGTCGTGTTTGCTTATTAACCTCTTGGAAGTCCTATTGGCAGCTCTTTCAAGCACTGTCATTGAAAACTGGAGTTTCTTGGAGAGTCTTTATGCTTGGTTTACAACTTTCACAACAATTGGTTTTGGCGACTATGTTCATTTAGAATCATATACGAGAAAAGCAGCTAATGGAAAAATGCCGAAAGCGTCCCTCGTACTCTATGGCATTTTCATATCCGTTCCATATGTTGGTGGTCTAAGTCGCGTTTCGTGTATGTTATCTTGCCTTGTTGACTCACTAGATAAAATAAGACACTTTTGTGACCGTTTTGTGAGTTGCTTCCCAAGTTTGGATTCGCGAATTTTACGATTTTCTCCTTGTAAGCAATCAAGATACAGTATAAAACAAGAGGAGAGTTGTGCGCGTAGAACAACTCCGGGACCTGAAATTGAGCAAAGATAATTGCGACGCTCTGGATGTGAGCTATTTTGACAGAACTTCCGCGCCGGCTCGAATGCAGTTGCAGGGGAGGATCCAGGATTTTTTTTAGGAGGGGGTGCACTCGTCTCTTGCTCTACTTCAACACCAATAAACCACATAATTTTTTTTGTTGCAGAATACCAGTTGTATTAGAAAACTGCAGGTCATCTCAGGGGGGGGTGTGCACCCCCTGCACCCTCCCCCTACTTCCCCCCTGAGTTGCTTCAATTTCGTTCTAGTATATGTCATTCCAAACACAAATATCCGACTAAAAATATTAAACTCAAAAACAGAAGAGGTTCTAAAAGGATTTCAAGAAATAGTTCAACCATTCGGACTCGAGGAATAATTGTTAAGTATTATGGGTATTTAGAAATGGAATTTTGAAGCTTTACGGCGCCTGAAAAAAGGAGAATCTCAACCGATTTGGATTCGATCAGAAACGGGGCAATCTTGCACTGTTTGAACACATTACGAGTTCAGTTACTGTGCATAGCTTACGTGTAGATTAGTTATAAAGTAAATGATGACCTAAAAAAATTTGACATGACAAAAATGAAACCGTAGTAGTTCTGGCCATCGAGAGGAAACATAATAATAATAATAATAACTTTAATAGTAACATCCTCGTGAGGTTTTTCAGGAACTATTTACAAACTATTTCCAATTTATAAAAGCAAAAATAACAATAAAAACTCGAAATCACAATTTATGATGGTATTCTATTAAAATCTAACGCTTATGAAGGAAATGTCTGCCTCAATAGTGTGTCTTTCAGGGCGCGCTTGAAAGATGCCAATGAGGCACTTTGCCTAAGTTCATTATGCAAGTTATTCCATATGTAGGCCCCTCTGTAGGAAAATGTGCGCTGGCCTATAGCCGTTTTGTATAGCGGAATCTGCAAAGAGTTCCGTGTACGAGTGTTACGAGTCTCTATAGAATAATTGTTCTTTAACAGGAAGCCAGTTTAGCTCTCGAAGCAAAGGTGTTACGTGGTCAAACTTCCTAGAGTTTGTTACGATCTTGCTGGCAAAATTCTGAATAGATTGAAATCTGTTTATATTCTGGAGTGTAGTATTAGACCATACAGATGAGCAGTAAAGCATCTTGCTAAAGACTAATGATGTTATTAACAATTCTAGTGTTTCCTTGTCGAAGCTCCTTTTGACTCTATTTATTTGGCAAAGCTTTGCGAAACAAGATGACACTACACATGAAATATGGTGATCGTAGGTCAGATGGGGATCAAGAAAGACTCCCAAGTCCTTGGCAGAGTCTGTTGGCTTCAGTGTTTTACCTAAGAATACCACTCCAGGGTCTTCTAGTAACCTGCTTAACATCTGTCTGGTACCGAGGAAAAGGAGTTTAGTTTTATCGGGATTGATAAGTAGATGGTTCTCACAGCACCATTGAGCTACACTGTGAAGGTCTTGTTCGAGCTTTTCAATGGCAGCAACAAGCTCAACGAGAGGAAATGACATGAATAGCTTTGAGTCATCCACATACGATTCTAGGTTGCAAAACGTCGGTGACGTGGGTAAATCGTTGAGATAAATGCAGAACAACAGTGGTGATAGGATTGCGCCTTGAGGAACTCCGTGAGTTATAGGTAGAGTGTCAGAGTGGGTGGAGCCAATTCTCACGTATTGCCTGCGACCAGTTAAGTAGCTCTTGAACCATTTGACAGTAGGGGGTGAGGCTCCTAAGATGGAGAGTTTGTGGAGCAACCTTGCATGGTCTATACTGTCGAAGGCCTTGGATAGATCTAATAGTACTAGTGCTGTTATCTGCTTTTTATCCATTGCTTCGAGTATCTTATCCGTGAGCAGGATGTTTAAGGTCTCTGTAGAATGAGCTTTCTTATTGCCGCTTTGATGTGAGGTAAGGCGGTTGTTTTTCGTGAGGTAGGCGCTGAACTGATTCAAAACAATCCTTTCGAGGACCTTTGAAGCTACGGCTAGCAGAGATAACGGTCTGTTGTTGGCAGCTTTTTCATGGTCACCGTCTTTAAGAAATGTGCTAGTAAGGATAGAACAATTGATGATGTCAGTAAGAGGGCCCAGTATGACAGGAAGACAGTCTTTTTAGTACACGAGCGCTGATCTTATCCGGTCCCGGAGATTTATTCATTGGGAGAGATGTTACAATTCGGCGAACCTCTTCACGTGACACTGTCCTTAAATTGAATAATTCCATAGAGGTAGTATCTATGCCAGTTTCGGATGAAAAATCTCGGACTATGATGTTATGTTCTTCCCTCAATGTACTGCGTCAGCGGCATTTAAGCCGCCGATAACTTTTTTATCTATTTCGTTTACTTAAAGATTGTTTGCTCAATAATTTTATCTCGTTTACTTAAAGTTGTTGCTTTTTACTGTGTTCTTTCCCTGAACAGATAGCTCTTAAAAAGTACTATCAACCCTATGTTTTACTTCGCAATTTTTAAGTAATTAAACATTACCTATAATGTATTTCTGTAAATATATGTCACAGCCGATAAAACCGAGAGAAGGATCTATGAATTAAAGTATTTTCTGCTTTTCTGAGTTTCCATGCTTAAAGAAAAATTATGAGTACGTTATTTTATTTTGAAATCAATCACTCTGAGTGAACAGACGGGATGAAGAGACCATTTTTGATATATTAAATTTATACTTGACTCCGAGGCTCAGGGGAATAAAACAAGAGAAATGTATTGTTCATTAATGAGCCTCAAGATGATTTCTTTTGTTTTTTTACTCCAAACCTCCCAGCCAAGTATGGATTTTCGTATATCGGAATTGGTCTATCGTTATTGAGTACTTTGAAGTTAAGTACATGTTGTTCGGTAAATTTGTCTGCAATATCTTAGAGTGAACTGTTGCATAAAGTAAAAGGGAGCTCAGTTGTTATATATATAAACAAACCAAAGATAAATCTGTTAATTTTTCCTATTTACCCGAGTAAATGAGGCTTTAAGCTTGTACAGATTTATGACGTGTCAAAACAGTGAAGTAGGGGAGACTTTACGTGGTTGATTTTGTTTACTGATCGAACCAGAATAAAGTTTATGTAATATATAACTTGTCTCTAGTGTTTCTCAATTTTCCGAGAGAAGATTATTGTCTTCACTTGATTTTACTACTTACTCTTTTTTCGTCCGATTTTAGTATTTTTGTTTTATATTTTTAGACATTAAAGGGGTCGAAAGTCAGGTGGGGCCCCTGCCCTGTTTTCATCTTTAAAAAAAAAAGAGTTTAAAGGCTTGTTTATTGTGGAAAGTGCACTTAGGTAATTATCCAGCTAGTTTGCTGGCAATCCACTCAAATACTTAGAAACAAATAATTCAAATACAACAACAGGATTAAAAAACCCCAACTGGCAGAAGGCAACCAGTTGGCTGCTGAATTTATACGACGAAGTCACGGTTCCAGGTTGTCGGTTACAGTGAGAAGTGATGCCATTTGATTTTACTGAAATGAGGGATGAAAATTGATTGCTCTTTTTGTTCAAATCATGTCCATTACAGTGAGATACAAATCATGTCAAAGAGAAAGTAAAATCAACTATTACAGCTGATTCTTAAGTCGTGGCACAAGCCGATTAATAAAATGGAATTACAAAAAGACAGGATTGCTCTTACTGAAAAGAAAAAAACAACTTAATGACAGCCTTCAAACCACTAAGCTGAAACTTATGTCATGTTAGGCCCCTTTCAAACGTGGAATTTCTTATGAGTGCCGAATACCTGTTTTAGTGGATGAAAATAATCAAATACGGCAGTTGATTCAGACGTCGGATATAATGGTGCCGAATTTAACTCTGTTTGTTTTAAATATTCACTCAGTCTCTAGAAAAAATGGTTATCCAATTCGGATAAGCGTTTATATAATTAATGCATTATATTCGGCAAATGTGAAAATGCGACTTCGAAATCAAATGTTGAACCTAAGTCGAATTTTCGACTCTTTCGTCACAGATTCGGCAAAGTCGTATTTCATATGAAGCTGTCGAACTTTGTTGATCCAGACGTCGCATCTCAAAGCGGTTACCCCACGAATTAAATTAGGCACGTGTGAAATTCGACGTTTGAACTGGGTGAATGATAACAGTGTCGAGTATTACTAAAAATACTGATAGATACGCTATGATACATGCGGCATTTTTCATATTCCTGTAAACTTTGCTTTCAATTTACCACATTATGATACTAGCCTTATGCACCACACGGGTAAAAAAGAGAGTAAAAAAATATATATATAAAAAATAAGGTTACGAAAAGTTTGCTTCAAGGGGATTCAAACCCGGACCCTCCTTGAACAGTTAGAACTAAAGTTTACGCCTGTATCCACAGGACCACCTCGGTAAACGCTGACAGTGCAAGGTTAAAAGAGGTATATATCCCTTCTCTAAGGTGATGGACGGTTTCCGAGGATGACGTTTTCGGTTTCCGTGTAGAATTAAATCTTTACCTGATCTAAGCCAGACGTAAAGCTCACAATAAACACGGCATTTAGTAAAATCCAACTAGTGGTTTATCAGCTTATGAGCTACTACTAGGATATATGTTATAGCCCCCTTTAAGCGAAAAGCACCGGCTTTTTGGCGGCAAAAACTTGACCTCTCTCCCCGTAATGAAGAAAAACAATATCGCCGCCAAATGCATCCTTTTTTGCTTGAAAGTTCTCTTTTAGTAACAAACTTTAAACGTTTATATCCTCAAACAAACAGTTAAGCTGAAAAAGGATTTTATAATAGGTCTCCTTTTCCATTTTAACTTGCAATGTCGGTCAATTTACGCAACTTTTAAACTTCTGGCCTAGGTTTTGTTTGCTTCTGCTTTAAAAATGGAATAATAATTACTCAGAGACAATGCAGTGTGAAGAATTGTTGAGAAAAACAACAAAAACTTACCAATTTAAAACAAAAAAGGTACTTTAAAAACGAACTAAAATATTGAAAAACGC